AATTGTGTTGTTATGTGATTTGAGTTCAATGTTACGCTCTCAGCTTTTATTACCTTTTTTTTTTTTTTTTTTGAGTGTGTTGAACAACATATACGGTTCTCCTAGTCCGTTAATGTTGTAGTGATCAAGTTGTTTTCCATCCATTGAGTTTGTTACATGTCTTTCTGACTGAAAGCTATGATTTCCAGTGCTAGAGATGTAAAAGAAGTTGCGCAGTGTGTCAAAGATTTAAAGTCTCCCAGCTATCATCCTTCGATGATTTCTTTATGGGTCACGGACTCCTTTGAGAGAAAGGACACGGAAAGAGATCTTTTGGCCAAATTACTAGTGAGCCTTACAAAGTCTCAGGATGCCACCTTGAGTCAGACTCAGCTTATCCAAGGGTGAGAATTAGTGAAAATCTTCTGATTACTAGCGGAAAACTGTTATTGCATAGAATCTCACCGTGTTATGTTTCTTCCCCCTGCTAGGTTTGAATATGTTCTAAATGGTCTGGAAGATGCCGTCAATGATGCCCCCAAAGCGCCAGAATTTCTAGGCCGACTTTTTGCCAGAGTTGTGACAGAAAATGTTGTCTCTTTGAAAGAGATCGGCCAACTATTATCACGTGAAGGCGGAGAGGAGCAAGGCCAGCTCTTAGAAATTCAACTCGCAGCCGATGTTCTTGGAAGCACATTGGAAGCAATAAAAGTGGAGAAGGGAGACGCTGTCTTGAGTGAGATTCGGTCAAACTCTAACTTGAGGCTGGAGACTTTCCGGCCACCCCATCCCATTATATCAAGGAAGTTGGAAAGTTTTATTTAGGGTATAGTGATGGTCATTGTATCTTTTGTTGTAGGCTAGAGTTTTTTTTTTTCTTTTCTTTGGGGGGATTATTTTGTGCTAGTACTACTAGGGTGTTAATTTGCAGTAATTATTTTCTTTATGGGGTGGTTGGGTAGCCATAATTAACATATACTGATCTTTCCATTGTCTTAATTTGTAACACCGTCCAATATCATGACTATTATGAAAGGTTCAATTGGGCATCTCAAAGCCGAGGCTGCTGAATTCTCTTGCCTGCCTCATGGAGAGGTTTTAATTGTTATTATTGCCTTGTATGATTTAATCTGCCCATGAAAAATGGTGTGCCAGGAAATTGATGTTCCCTCATCATCAATTGCTATGCATGTGGAATATAGTTCATTCAAGTTCATCCTGGTGAATGAGATATTGTAATTCAGGTGTGTTGTTTGGCTTTAGAGGGTCTTTAATACGAAGAAGTAGTTGGAGGTTGAATTTTATCATAAATATAAAATTTAAATTTATTTTGTCTTTCATTTTCTCAAAATATTCATATTAATTTTAAGGGATTTTATTAAAAATTAATTCTGATGATCAAATGCATGAGATTAAAGGTGTAATTTAGGAAAACTAATTCACGATTGTGACAAATAAATAATTATTTTTAAATTTGTTATTTAGTTTTTATATTAAAGATTGGAGATGGATATAGTATATATAAACAAAGCTGATTACTACAGTGAGTATGCCATCGTAAATTTGGCACGTCACTCAACTTTCTAATGTTTTGTGCTATTTCCCTTGCGAAGGATGGATATCCATTTTTCATTTCATTTTTGACAAGAGGACACAGAAACCATTACAATTGATGCGGGCAAGCTATATATCCATTTCCCATTAGAAAAACGCAAAAGTTGATTTTTTTTTAACTTGGTTTAATTACTTCTTATCTACTTAATTATTTATTTAATATTTTGGTCCAACCTTTTTCTGTGTGGCTAATTTACGTTGAGGAAAAGTTGTGATGGAGCTTGTTTAATTAAAATGTTAATTGACTGAGAGATCTTGAAAGTATAAAAATCCCATATGAAATTATATCTTAATCTGTAACTAGATTGTTGACGTTGATCTCATGTTTCATATCATCTGAGAAGGCTTGAAAGTGAACGTACATATTAGCATCAACGATGAATTTCAGAATACCTATCATCGTTATTATAAGAATGAATCAGAGGGGGAGTTTGGCAACCCCATAATAATTTAAAAGAAGTCTTTTTATTCAATTTGGATAAAATTTTTCTCATATATTTATTCATGTGTCTTGATGCTTTATCTTTATTGGGCCAAACGAGAATAAATACATACTGCCTCGTATATCTAATATGGGAACTAGATAATTAATATGAGGAGATTAAAAAATTAATCAAATTTATTAATTATAATAAGTATGTATTGATTTTTCTAAGATATTGTTTTTAATCATATGTATTGAAACTATTTCTTGATAAAATCCTTATAATTATTAAGGATATTTTAGATAAAACATTATAGATTAGACAGATAAAGTTTATCGAAGTACTATATTTAGAATTAAATTTAATATTCTAATTAGCTTTTATATTAAATATCAAAGGTAGTAGAATAAGTAGTTGTTAATTTTTTTTTTTTGCCAACATAATTAGTTGTTCAGTTGTCTCAACAGCTATTGTATTATCTTAAATTAAGGGGGTGTTTGGATGAAAACCAAACCATGGTTTCAGAAGTGCTTTTACGGTTTACGAGGCAAATATGTGGAAGAGTTTGTCTCGTTTTGCGGAAAAGTGCTTATGAAACCATGGTTTGGAGGTTACCAAACACCCCCTAAGTCAACCAGATATATTTGGTTTAAGGTGCATCAGTACATCTAGCATCCTGAAATATTTTTTCAGGTATATTCAGCATCATGAAGTATTTTGTGTGCATCTAACACCCTGAAATATTTTTTTTTAAAATGCGTCTAGTACCTGAAGTATTTTTTTTTTGGTATATCTAGTATCACAAAATATTTTTTTGAGTGTGTTTAGCACCCAAAAAATATTTTTTAGTGCATCCAGCATCAAGGCAATTAAAAAAAAAAAAAACTAATGATGTTAGATGCACAAAATAATATTTTTTTGGTAGCTAGAAACATTCAAAGTATTTCTTCACAAAAAGACCAAACAGAAAAAAATTCCTATGCTAATTTCCAATTTGAAGCTAATCCTTATGAATCTCCATCTCAACTGTATGCACTAAGTCAAGAACCCTAATGATGGATGCACTCTAACCCCTTTTTTTTTTTCCCATGTAAAAGGAACATTAAATAAATAAATAATGGTTAACGTTAATCAAACACCTTGAAAATTCAGTTACATTCAATGTTCTAAAATATTTTGTGGTTTATTTAGCATTCTCAATTATTTTTTCAAGTATGTCTAACTCTCTAAAATATTTTACAGTGCATTTAATATTTTGAAATAATTTTTTCAATGTGTCTAGAACCTTAAAAAATAAAAAAATTTACTTTAGGATGCTTATTATAATTCTTCTAACAGATTTTTTTTGAGGAGTTAATGACGGGATTAAAATTACCCCAAAACAATTACTTTTTAAAGGCATAATTGATCCCAGAAAAAAGGATAATATTTTAAGGACAAAATTGCAGTACAAAATATTTAGGGTGTTGAGTTCACATTAAAAAAAAATAAAAGTGATTGACGAATCACAAAATATTTTAAAATACGAAATGCTACTTCAAAGTGCTACTTTTAGTAAATCAAGTACAAATTGTTTTAATATCATATTAATGATGAGTATCGCACTTAAAATCAAATTGACCCAAAAATATCGATAACTCAATACTTAACCAGTTCGGGCAAATTGCTGCTAATCTGATGGAAATCTAACTCGTTTTATGCTTGTTTAGAGTTGCTCATATTAAATGTTTATAAACATATTTATGTAAATTAAGTACTTACCTTGTATTTTATACTATTAAAAAGTATGTCATTCCATACAAACACACAATTGGTTTGCACCAGGTAACCAGTTAGGCTAGAAAGATCAAAATGTCCACATGGGTAAAACTAAAAAATGTCTGACAACCTTAAAAGTACTTTTTAAATCCTTCGGACAGGCTCCGGTTCAGACAACAATCAAACGCCGGCTTCTTCCTTTGGCCCCCAGTTTCGGATACGAACCTCTCCAGGCTTATAGGCCTTCGCGCCGAACTTCGCTGCTGTTCGTGACCTCGTCTCATCGCCCTTCCTGTCGCTCTCCTCAGTCTGTCATGACTCAGCGTCGTTGTTCGCTGCTAGCCTAATAATATATTCTGGTAAGTTCTGCGATTTAGCCGTTTAGGATTCTGTTTTTTTTTTCTTGGGGCGGGGTTTTTAATCGGTCTCATTCGAATTGATTTCTTTGCTGTAGGAAGCTATACTTTTACTTCCATGGGTTGCTCCGTTCAAGGGAGAACTTGCTGATGGAAGGTAAAACTCTGAATTTCTCCTCAGTCTCTAGACTCAATCTGTTTGTTTGTTTGTTTTCTTTCGTAGCAATCTCAATCAGTTGAGGCATAGTTGATACCCATTTAAGCCCCTTCAAAATTTCAGACTCAGAGAGTCCATTTTTCTGAATTTTACCGTTGATCATTGTCCAACTATTACTCTTGGTTTGGTATGAGGAAAAAGCTTAACTATTTTTGAAGGCAAAGATGCACATGTTGATGGAATCTTTTGTCTATGATTATTTTAAAAATCTAATTTTCTAATTCTTCAGAGTTGCAGAGAAAGAACCTCAGTCAGAAAATTACATATTGAGCTTTAAAAAAATTATATCGTCTTTCTTATTTAAATATTACCTTTTTTTCATAGTCAACTATAAATATTTTTAATTGAATTTTAATTTAATTATGACTGGTCTGGTTCCCATTTGATCATGATCTGACTCACTGTCTCCAACGATTTATTGACTGATCCTCCTTGCAGTAACTTGATGATGAGTGTGGATATAAAGCTTGTGTATTAACAGCCAACGTTAAGTCAACGAGATATATTTTCTCAGATTACGTTTAACCAAAATAAATAAATAAACAAACCACAACTTGTATTAACATCAACATGAACATTATATTAATAATGGATATGAACCCATTTCGGATCTCTTCTAATATAAACCCATTTCGGATCTCTCCACTTTCTGATAATTCACCACCAAAAGATCTATCAAAGAAAGAGACAAAGGGTAGGACTGAGGATCAAGCAATGGAAAGGAAGAATAACTCTGTGTTGATTCTTCCTCTTCTTCTTCTTGTTCTTCTCACAGGTTTGCCTTCTCTCTCAGCGTCTGGTGATTATGGGAAGAAGACGAAGCACTTTGTATTAATCCATGGAGGCAGTCACGGTGCGTGGTGCTGGTACAAGGTGGCCACTCTGTTGAGATCAAAGGGTCATAATGTGACAACGCTTGACTTGGGTGCTTCTGGAATAAACCCCAAGCAAGTGAATCAGATACGTTCCATTTCTGATTACTATGAGCCATTGATGGTCTTCATGGAGTCGGTTCCGGCAAAGGAGAAAGTGATCCTGGTCGGACATAGTTTAGGAGGGGTGTCTACTTCTGTTGCCATGGAGAAGTTTCCTCACAAAATATCAGTTGCAGTTTTTGCTACCGCTTATGTTCTTAGCCAAAACCTCTCCTATCCTGCTGTTCTCTCTGAGGTAATTCTTAATATCATAACTAAAACCTGGAACAGACTGGTGAGTTGACCCACCACGTCCTCTAATTGGGCTGGAATTTCGATTGAATCAGTAATTGAACGAACCAGTGCAACTCGGTTAACTCGGCTGGTTGGTGTTAATTGACCACTCTGGTTTTGAGTACCTTGCTTAACATAACTAAATCTTAATCCTCTGTATTGCATAAGGCTACCCTGACCTATTTCTATTAAGCATGACGTTTTGCTATATATGATGGTTTGTCTGTTGGTGCTGTTGTTTGATTCTAATTCCTTGCTATTGCTGTCCCTTCTTTCATTAAATTCATATTACTGTATACATTTAATCAATTTCCTTATGATTAAAAAATACCATGCATCTAGTTTTATCTGAGACAAATTGAACTAATCCACGGATTTGAATGTGCTGAACATGTATGCTAAAAAGAATGTGAAATATGCATAGGCTATCATTTATATGTCATATGCAAATTGTATTGTTTGTGAGTCATATACAGTATGACTTATGTATTGTACAAGATTATTTTTCATCTCTGTCCAAAAGAAAATTGGATTGTGGATTTTGAATGGGCATGTATGAGGATGTGAAGTACTCCTCCGGTTCTAAATATAAGACCCTTATACTAGTGTGTATAAGGGTCTTATATTTAGGACCGGAGGGGTATTATAATTGTACCATATTTTATTGAAAATATTTTGGTTTGTGAATTTTGCATCGATTAAAAGAATAATTATATTGTTGCAGCTGAGCAGAAGAAACATTTCATTGATGGACACGCAACTTTTCTTTGAAGATGGGCCCACCAACCCTCCCACTGCAAGACTTATTGGGCCCAAATTCATGGCAACCCGTATGTATCAATTATCCTCACCAGAGGTAATCTCTCTCTCTCTCTCTCTCTCTCTCTAAAGTTAGAGATTGACCAGAACATTTGATCAGATTTGATAGAATTATAATTAATATGATCTCCGATTCTTAATATTAAATCAGTTTGTAATTAGAGATCTTATATGAAGAATCAAAAGTAGTAGTATGACATTTAAAATAAGAAAATGATGATATATAAGCTTATATAATACATTATCTGCATCATCAAACAAGTCCTAAACTCATAATTAATTTTGTTAGCAATTATATGGTCATGTGTTTTGTCAAAAAAACAAAATATAAAAATTATATGATCATGTCTAGAGCATATCAAATGGACCATTAGAAATGGACATAGTTAATCTCTCCTTTGTTAATAACAACACATGACATAGTTAATCTCTCCTTTGTTAATAACAACACATGGTGTTATTCTAAGGACAAAGCATTTTTGTGTAAGTGAAATTAATCAAAGCCCAAATGATAGGATTTGACACTTGCATTGTCACTGGTGAGGCCTGTGCCAATCTACAATGATGCCGAATTATTGAGGAAAGAAACAGCTGTCACAGGTAGCAGAAATGGAAGAGTACCAAAAATATTTATCAAATGTGAGAATGACGACTTGATCACAGAGGACCTCCAAAATTGGATGATTCAGAGATCTCTTCCATTTGATGATGTCAAAGTGATTGAAGGCTCAGATCATATGCCTATGTTTTCTCAACCACTCAAGCTAACCTCTCACCTTCTGCAGATTGCCAACATGTATTAGTTGGATTCAAAAACTCAGCACATTATAATGATATTATGAGTATTTGAAGGTCTATTTTATTGATTTTATCTGAAATTTACCCAGAACTTTGTCATGGAGTACATGTGCATGTAATTCTGCTTGCTTTTAATGGCATCATAATAAGATTGATTGCAGGTGAGTTCTTGACCTTTCCTGCAACGACTCGTGGAAAATCATGCTGAATTACTCTGTTTTAAGGATAACAAAACTAGAAGAAAATTAGTATTGTATTGTAGGGCCTATTGCAAATTGCAAGGACCAAATTGAAGGGATACTAGAAAGGACCTTCAATTCTAGTATTTTAACCTTTTTAAGTCTTAACATTTTTTCATGAAAGTCCTAAAGAGTTTATTTCTTATGTGAAAAATTGATTTTCAATTAAAAAAGGGAAGTTAACAATTTAATTTTGCAAAGCAATCAAAAACAGTTTTTATTACTCTAGTTAGTATTCTACTTAATGCATTAACCTCATAGCCTTATTGAAAACGTGATTTCATTCTTCAATGTTTAGCCTCGGCAAACCTTTGATTCTCCCAACTCCAGCATCAGCTGAGCAGCTCTAGCATTTTTTTCAATCAAAAAACTGTTTTAGCATTACTGAAACTTAAAAAACAAAATAGCAAAATATATTCAAATGCCTTGATACTTGTACATTAGAAATTATGGATTTAGAGTTAGTTTTTGGAAATTAAATATTAAAAAGGTGTTTAGAAATGCACTAATTGTACATACAGACATATGAATTTAGGATGGAACGCCCCCTCTCGATATGGATTTTGTCGAGCCTCGAAAATCTTCAGGATGGGACGGATATGGGTCCCATGAACTTCTTCAAAATAACGTCTCTTTAGGTGTTTATAACGACTTTCTAACAGATATATTTTTGTTTTAAAATAACGCGCACCAACCACTTTAAAACAAGGTAGTTTCGTTTTGGATCGCTCCCCACTTTTTAATACCACTTTCTATTCTTATTATATGAACTAGTTTGATATTCAATTTGATCTTAAATATAATATCTCAATTTATTTTAGTTCATATTTATTTTTTTTGTTAAGTTAGTTCTTACAGTAGTTGCATATGTTAAAAGTTCATCAAATGGTAATTATTAGTAAGGGTATTTTAAGAAAGACAACACCTATTTATTATAAATAACTAACTTAACTAATCTTCTTAATATATTTAAATTAGTTAACTAGTTCTTATATTAAAGATCAGAGGTAGTATAATGGAAGGGGCGGATGATGAAAGGTAGAGAGGGAGTATTATTGTATTATGATCTTTTGTACCGTTTTGAGTTCTTTGCAAAAGAAAAAACAGAAGTTGATTGTTCTAGGGATAAGGTGTTGAAATATCCTGAAAATATTCATGAAAGAACACCTAGCACCTGAATTTTTTTTTTTTTTGCTCTTATATGCCTTAAAAGTTTATCTTTATAACAAAAATACCCTGGTTGTTATTTATCATCAAGTTTGACAGTTAATTATGCCGTTTTACTGATATCTTTAACAGTCAAACTTAATAATGGATAATGGTTAAGAACAGAAATGTTATGAAATAAAATTTTCAGTACATATAAGAGTCCAAAAAAATTTCAAGTACTATGTGCCTCTTGATGCATACTTTCGAGGTATTTAAGCATCTTATGCTATTATATTCTATTTACTTCGCTCAATCGCTTTTTATCCACTTATTTATTATTTTGGGTTAGTTTTACACGAAGGAAAAGTTGTGATCGACCTTGTTTAATTAAAATGTCAATGTCAATTACCTGTTAGATCTTGGGGATATAAAAATCCCATATGAAGCTAAATATCTTTATAACTTATTACTGAGATTAACCTTGTGTTTTTATATATTTCTATTGTTTATTCTTTTAGAAGGGGTGAATGTGAACGGAGATACTAACACCAAGATGAACTTCAGAGATTAAGGATTCTAATTTCCATTATTGTATCAATAATTTCACTGTAAAATGTCTACGCTAGGGTTGAGCAAAACTCTCATCCTTAATATGAGAACTAGTTAAAAATTAAATTTTATTCTAAATATAAGACATTAATCCACTTTATTTTCCAAGTTTTTAATTTATTGTCTAAGGTATTTTTGTTGATTATACATGTTAAGAATTTCTATTTAAGAGTAATCACGATTAAAACGAGTATTTTAAAAAAATCAATTTATATTTATTACAAATAATTAATTTAACTAATTTTTTTTAAATTTATTTAAATTAGTTTAGTAAAATAGCTGTTGTACTAATTAAAGATTTTATAATAAGGAGGGAAGGTTACATTCTGGCACAATCAATCTGGAAGTCTTTGAAGAATCGTTGACCGAACGAGAATAAATAAATAGAATAATCAGTTGAGCTTTCCCATCAGCTACTGCACGACCAGATATATTTAATATTTTCTTCCCCCTATAAGAAACGTTAAATAAATAAGGGTTAAAAATATTGTTGGATTGACTTTTACTTTTAATTGGCGTACTACTTACGGTTTTGTAAGGATTTGGTCAGACTTTAAAAATACTACTTCTGATTTTTAATATAAGAGTTTTTTTAATGTTTATTTTGATCATAAATATAATATCTTAATTTATTTTATTTTTTATATTTATCTATTTTTTAAAATAGTCTTTATAATAATAATAATAGTTCTAACCAATATACTTAATTAGTAAGAATAATTTAAGAAAATTAATACCTATTTATTACAAATAATTAACTTAACTATTTTTTTTAATATATTCAAATTATTCAATTAACTCTTATATTAAGGATAAAAACTGATATTAATAAAGAGCATTTTCTATTTCCATGTTTTTGGCTAGCCGAAATGAATGATTATTATATTCAATTAAAATATATTAAAATTGTAGAATCATTGTACATGAAATAATAATTTTTTATGAAACTTGATACTCACTCAAAGATAAATATTATTCTTTTTTTATTCAAGACTTTTCAAATGCTGCGTAGAAATAAGTAACTATCTGTTAAGCTTTCCTAATCAGCTCCTGTATTAATAGCCCTTGTTAAGTCAACGATACATACTTTCTCACACACAAAATATAAAGCTTCACCAAAATAAATAAATAAATAAAACATCAACATGAATAGTTATATTCATAATGGATATGTATATGAACTACAAATAATGAAGATCAAATCAAAGTATTACTTGCACTTCAGTCGCTATTAAGCTAAACATTTCAATGTCATGTAATTAATAAAGAGAATTTTGCATTTCTTGGTTTCAATTAGAAGGACGGACAAAAGAGATTAAAATTAAATAATCAGTAAAACAAAAAAAGAAGAAGTAAAACTAACCCATAATATAATATTAAAGCCATCGGGATCTCTGCACTATTCGAATCACTTTGTCTCATGCAATTTCTTCATCTTCTTTAATATGCATTAGAAAATTCCTCACACAAAACCGATCCACAATTCAATATAAACCCATTTCAGATATCTCTCCACTTAATTTGTGATATTCACAGCAAGAAGATCCATCAAAGAGACAAAAGGTCGAACTAATTTTAAGGATCAGGCATTAATGGAGGTGGCGATGAAAAGGAAGGGTAATAACTCAGTACTGATTCTTCCTCTTCTACTTCTTCTTATAAGCTTGCCTTCTCTCTCATCAGCGTCTGGTTATTATGGGAAGAAGAAGCACTTTGTATTAATCCATGGCGCCGGTCACGGCGGGTGGTGCTGGTACAAGGTGGCGACTCTGCTGAGATCAAAGGGCCATAACGTGACGACGCTTGACTTGGGTGCTTCTGGGATAAACCCTAAGCAAGTGAACCAGATAGGTTCCATTTCAGATTACTATGAGCCGTTGATGGCGTTCATGGCGTCGGTTCCGGCGAAGGAGAAGGTCATATTGGTGGCACATAGCTTAGGAGGAGTGTCTACTTCTGTTGCCATGGAGAAGTTTCCTCATAAAATATCAGTTGCAGTTTTTGCTTCTGCTAATGTTCTTAGCCAAAACCTCTCCTATCCTGCTCTTCTCTCTGAGGTAATTCTTTATATATAACTAAGAATTCTTATTTTCAGATGGTTGTTGGCTATCTTCACGTATATATATATACTTTCATTAGTGAAAAAGAAAAGTTAATGAAAAAGTGTTATCTACAAGGTTAATTTTTTTTTGGAAACGCACAAGTCCTCGTTTTGCTTCAAGTGGTAGGATAGTCCCCCCCCCCTTCTTATTTGGTCTACAATAAACCCCAGGTATGACATGCATATTTGTGTCTCATACCCAGTACCTACCAGGATAAATTCATAAAATTATTGGGTTTTATTTAATGCTAGGTTTAAAATGGAAATCTCATGGAAAGAATATTATTGGGGCCACATGATTTTTTTTCTCAAAGAATTCTAATTCAATTTGGATAATATCTATGGCTTAGCCTTGTTTTGGGGTATATGGATTAAATGATTTGAGGGGAGTTTTTTCCCCCCCGACTGGCTTAAGTAGTTTATCCTATTGTTTATTTTGGGGGTTTTATTATAAATGGATTTTGCATCAATTAAAAGAATAATCATATTATATTACAGGTGAACAGAAGAAACATGTCATTGATGGATTCACAATTTTTCTTTGAAGATGGGCCCACCAACCGTTCCGCTGCTATACTTTTTGGGCCCAAATTCCTGGCAACCCATATGTATCAATTATCCCCACCACAGGTGATCTCTCGCAGTCTCTTCAAATTGAAGTTAGAGATCATTACTGATTGGCACATTTGATGATCAGATTAAATAGAATAATAATAATAATCAATGGCATAACATTGGATTGTAGATTTTGTTTTGATACATAAAAAGATCCTGATGTATATGTAAGGTTATATACTACCTCCGATCCTTGATATAAGAACTAGTTGACTAATTTGAATAAATTAAAAAAATTAATTATATTAATTATTTGTAATAAATATATGTTATATTTTTAAAAATATCTTTGCTAATCAAATATGTTGGCTAGAACTACTATTATTACAGGGACTATCTTGAAAAAAAATAGATAAATATGAGAGACAAAGTGGATTGAGGTTTTATATTTAATACCAAAATAAAAGTCAAATGAGCTATTATATTAAGAACCGGAAGTAGTAATTAATACATTATTATCCTAGCTAGTTTGGTTTTTTTCAAAGAAAAGATTATGATACATTATTTGCATCATGGATCAAACAAGTCATAACCTCAAAATAAATTGTATGAGCTTATATAATACTACTCAAGTCCTTAATATGAGACTCAATTAATTAATTAGGAGAAATTAATAAAGTTAAATAAATTACTTTAAAGTATTATATATTAGTCAACTCAGTCTTATATTAAATACTGGGGGCAGTAGCATATCAAATGTAGCATTAGAAATGAACATAGCTAATCTTTCCTTAGTTAATAACATATGATATTATTCTAAGGGATAACCGGATGACTAACTAAAGAGCAAGTGTTTGTGTGTCTGTATGTCTATATGTGTGTGTGTGTAAATGAAATTAATGAGCAAAGCCTCAATATAATGTTAGGATTTGACACTTGCACTGTCGCTGGTGAGGCCTCTACGGAGCTTCAATGATGGAGAAGTAGTGAGAAAAGAAACAGCAGTGACAAGTAGCAGAAATGGAAGGGTGCCAAAAATATTCATCATCTCTAAGAATGACAAAGTGATTCCAGAGGACCTCCAGATTTGGATGATTCAGAGATCTCTTCCATTTGATGATATCAAAGTCATCAAAGATTCAGATCATATGCTCATGTTTTCTCAACCACTCAAGCTAACCTCCCACCTTTTACAAATCGCCAACAAGTATTAGTTGGATTCAATGTGATACTTGATTTCTTAGTCTCATTAAAAGATTATTGTCTTTTTTGATTTTGATTTGTCTACTATTATCATTATTGGACTTTGGATCCAATTCTATTCTTGATAAGCCGAACTATTTGACTAAGGAGCAGATAATTCTTGATAAGCCGAACTATTTGACTAGGGAGCAGACAATCTCCCTAATTAATTAGAAAGTCCAAGTCAATCAAGAAAATAAACTGCCATTAATCCTTATGGGAAAATTAAGGAACAAGAAAAATGACTGACTAGAAAATTAATCAGGCATTAAGGTGTTGATTTTGAATTGAAATTGTGAATTAAGACAATAAAAAATTCATCTTGTAACAAATGGAAGAGATCACATTTTCCTAAACTGTGACCACCCTGACTCTATAAATGAGGTGTCTCCCCCCCCCCCCTTTTTTTCATCCCAGCTATTGAGCTTTTTAGTTATCTCTTCTCTTCTTCTTTTTTTGTGTGCATCTATTGTGCTATTTTTATTTATACTCTTATATTCTAAGTATAACTCAGTATGATCTCTTCTCTACTTATTTTATTTTTTCTACAATCATACTATTGTATTTGATACATATTCTCAAAACAGGCAAGAAATGTTTCCACTAACTTTACCTTCTATTTTCCCTCCATTTAATGTTTTTATCATTAGATCAAGTTTCAACAGCTGAGATTTATTTTGTAAAAATGTTATTATAATATTAAATATTAAATAATCAAATGTAAGTATATAAGTTTATACTATTAAAATTTGATGTGAATAGTTTACAATTGTAAATTTTTATTATATTTAATATTATAACAATATTTTTACATATTTTTGAATTTCAACCATTAAAAGTTAATCCAACAATTGAGATACTAAGCAGAGGGAAAGTGAAGAGGCAAGTTAGTGGAGACATTCTTTTTTCTCATTTAGATTGATATAGCAAATGATATGACATGATAATATGTAACATATCAAAATGAATGATAAAAATTTGTTTGACAAAATCTCACACACTGTAAAAATATTTATATATAAATTAAGAAAAGGAAAAACTATAGAGGTATGGGGTAATAGAATATGGAAATTTAAAGAGAAATAATAACCAATCAACCACTGAGTTGCAAAATAAAGAAAAGAGGAGGAATCCATAGTCCCAAAGACTATGGCCAGATGGAGAAGAAAAGAGGCCAACTTACCAAGGTGTGAGAAAGAAGCTTCCTAAGAAAAGTTTCAAGACAATTTCCTTTTCTTTTCTTTTTTTCCATGACCCTTCTTTTTTCTTTTTGCACAAAAATTTTAGTTAGGGATTCATGCTCAACTCAAGTCAAGAGCAAGCTGCTTAATCCAGCTTCTCCAAAGTCAAATCTTATTAGTTATGGTGAATTTACAACAAGCCCTAGGCATTCATCTAAGTACCTCAGATCTAGGATGCATTCCCTAGCGATATGATGGGGAATTGAATCCTCTCCTTTTTTGGTGATAGGGTGCTTCATCCATATGCTCAAATTTCTTTCATGTGAGCCCCATATCCCTAAGCCTAATAATCTCATGCCTAATAATATTATGTCAACAAGGGTTAGGTGTACCGAAGGAGCTAGTCTTCCATAATGAGGTAAATCAAAGTTTGAATTTCTATTAGAAAAGGTATCCACGTCCAACTTCTACTGGGAAAGATATTTACATTTAGTGCCCAGTAGTACTCGAACAAAATTGCCTCCAATAAGAGGATATATGTGCCTAGCAAGAATTTATTATAAATCATTAACCCCATTTATTTCACTTACGTATGAAACCAAGTTTGGGATTTGAAAAGAGCTTTACTATATATTCTCCGCATGGAGCTTTATGCTATATTAACCTCACAGGACAGAAGCACCTACTAGGAAAATAAATTCATGTTTATTTAAATTTACATGTTGTTTTAGTTAGTTACACTTTATTTTACTTGGTTGTTTGCTTGTGTGTGTGTGTCTCATGCTCCTTATCATGTACCATACATTATTGTTCATTTTGGTCTTTTGCCTGCAACTTTTCCAACACAAGCAATAATAGTGAGCAAACAGGAGATAATATATTTTAATTTTTTTTAAAATTATAAAGGAAAAAGCTAGGCCACAAGATATTCGGCTCATTCTCATCTATAAAGATACTCCACGAAACACACAAAACATACACGCAAGTGAGATATTCATAAGAAATCAAAGAGGGTAGAGAGAAAGAAGAGACACAATCGGAAATGGAGGTAAGTCAAGTGCTTCACATGAATGGTGGTGTGGGAGAAACAAGCTATGCAAACAATTCTTTGCTCCAGGTATTATAAATTGCACATAAGCACCACTTTAATCAATGACAGCATCTTTTTTTTTTTTTTAAGTTTTGATGTTTCATTCGGTCATAAATGTAATGTCTTATTAACTAATTCGTAGAATTAAAAAAAAAAAACAGTAGGTAAGTTGCGTGTTTGTAATTACTTATTGATATGTAAAAAAATTGATAACAATTTTTCAAAACTAACCCTATGTATATCATTTAAGGATTAAAATTTAATATGCAGTGATAAAAAAATACTCTAATAATATAGGGGTATTATGGGGAAGAAAAATTTAATGTGGAAAACGAGACTTTATATTTAAAATCAAATTAAAAATCTTAAATAGATCCTATATTTAAAATCCAAGGGAGTATTTGTAGTACCAACTAATTATATTTATATTCAAAGCATTTTTTGATCAAATAATTTAAAGGGTAGTTTTTCCAATCCACAATGTTCAAATTCTTGACCTTACTTTGTTTAAATGGGAAACGAAACGGGAAGAATTATGCCCATATGGAAAAGATCTTCATATATGGGCCCCAAGCCTCTTTTGCTCCTCACTTTTGAGACAGTTTTATAGAAAGCGTATTTTCAATCCAAATTATCTTTATTTTCGAAGAGAAAACTTTGGAGAGTAACACATTGGCTCTATACAATTCTCTTTCTCCTCCAGGACCTCCACTTTTCTTTCTCTTAAATTTTTTTCCCCTCATCATGCAAAATGGAAAATCTATTTTTTCCCCTCTTATTTCTCTCTTCCTTTGACTTTTTTCTCCATCAAAACATAATCACAGAATAACATTAACTATTTTTCTTATGGAAAATAGCAAAAAGTGCTGACATTGACAAAGCCAATTCGAGAGGAGGCCATAACCAAAATGTACCACCAAAGCATGCTCCCAACCACCAGAGGCCTAGGGATTGCAGACTTGGGTTGCTCTTCTGGTCCAAACACTTTGTCTGTGGTTTCCGAAGTTATCAAAACAGTGGAGAAGCTTTGCCAAGAACTAAACCATGAATCTCCAGAATACCAAGTCTTCTTGAATGATCTTCCAAGGAATGACTTCAACAGCATCTTCAGATCTCTTGACAACTTCAAAGAGAAACTCAATAAAGAAATGGCTTCTAGGTTTAATGGTCCTTGCTTCTTCTTAGCAGGCGTCCCTGGTTCGTTTTATGGCAGATTGTTTCCTCCAAAAAGTCTCCATTTTGTGCATTCCTCTTACAGCCTTCAATGGCTTTCTCAGGTTTCACTAAATACCAATATTATATTAATTTAGATCATTTCTTTAGATTTTTCCCTCCTTCATGCTACCTCTAGTTCAATTTTGTTTCTTGCTTAATTGATTAGGTTCCGGAGGGATTGGAGAACAATAAGGGAAACATTTATATGGCAAGCACAAGCCCCTCAAACGTGTTGAAGGCTTATTATAAACAATTTCAAAGAGATTTCTCATTGTTTCTTGAGTGTCGTGCCAGAGAAGTGGTGGAGGGAGGAAGCATGGTCCTCACATTTTTGGGAAGAAAAAGTGACAACCCCTCTAGCAAAGAATGTTGCCTTATTTGGGAACTCATGGCCAAAGCCCTCAATTACCTTGCCTCCAAGGTACTCATATACTCCTTTGATCATATTCATAAGTTACTTTCAACATATTTCACACAGATCAAGAAAAACCTTAAACTTCATTAACTCTAATTTAAAACTCAACAACTTTTCAACCTTATCCTTATTTAATATATATTATACTTCATGTAAATAAAGTCAATATAATAATAAATGAAAGGTAAAATTATACATCCATATAAAAAATTTCTTTCAGTGTTTTATAAATAGAACAAAAAAATATCTTCTCTCTCTGCCTAATAAATAGGACCAGGGGAGTATCTCAATTCGTGATTTTCAACCCACAATCAATTATCTAATATTTGACAGTGTCAAATTATATTCAAACATTCTCTGACTCAATTGATAGTAATCCTTGAATGTGATTAACTTTTTTCATTCACAATGTTCAAACTCTAAACCTTGCTTAAAAGACAGCACCCTTCAACTTAACTGAGGGGGTGTTTGGATGAAGTCAAACCATGGTTTGGAGAATAGCTTCTGGAGAATAATTCTGGAGAGAATAGATTTTGAAAGAATAGATTTTCTAAAAAAGTGATTCTGATAAAGTGAGAGTGTTTGGATAGTTGTTGTCAGAAGTACTTTTTTATATGTAGAAATTACTAAAAAGGACATAAATTTAAATGATAATTACATATAAGATATATTTCATAATATATGTTTACTTGAAGTAATAAATTTGTTAATAATATATATTTTGGCAACATAATAAATAAGACATAAATAATATAAATAAAAAAATTAAAACGTATATATATATATATTAATAAAATAAGTAAATATGTTTTTTGTAAAATAATTTATTTTGCCAACAAAAAATATGATTATTTCTTAAAGATTTTAAAGATGAAGAAATCCCATAATTTTTTTTCACAAAATTAAAGAACCACACCATGGGCCCACCACCAATGTTCAATTATTTCAAGCAGAAGCAGCTCCTCCGTCGCTTTATCCGAAACCAAGGTTTTGGGGGGCAAAACCATGGTTTCCGCCAAAACCATGGTTTGAGATTTTTGAGGAGTGTTTGGCAAATTTTTTTTCAAACCATGGTTTGGAGAGATAGCCAAACACCCTCTGGATTACTATTGGTTATTGCCTTATTGGTCTAATTTCTAACATTTGAGATATATATATGCCTAATATGATGAATGAGGTTCCATGCATGGTCCCACCATCCCCATCATTCTGACAATATTTTATCATATTGTGTTTTTTATATATATATATATATAGGGAATCATAAAAGAAGAGGAAGTGGATTCATTCAACATTCCTCAATACTCACCATCCCCATCTGAAGTTGAAGAGGAGGTATTAAAAGAAGGGTCATTTGAAATCAATCGCATTGAGGTATCTCCAGTGAGTTGGGACGCTACTTACCATAATGATTGGAACACAATGGAAAATGATGAATTTAGTGCATCTGAAATATTGGCAAGTGATTGTGGACATAACGTAGCAAAGTGTATGAGAGCTGTGGCTGAGCCCTTATTGATCAACCACTTTGGATCAGAGGCTATAATTGAAGATGTCTTCAAGGAGTACCAAGAAATCTTAACTCATTACATGTCCAAAGAGAAAACTGAATTCATCAATGTCACCTTGTGGATGAGTAGAAAAGTATGATCACAATATTGTAGTATGAGCTTGATGTGGGCCCCTAATTTTCATTTTGAGTATTGATGATTTCTATATGTTATTTGCGGTTGTATTGGAAAAACTTCATCTTTAATTGGAGAGTTGGAGATGTGTGCTTGCTAGAATATTTATCGATGGTGTTTTGGAGAATACATTATCAATTCTGGGTTTTCTTTTGGTTTTTTTCCCCCCTTACCCTTTAGAAGTATCCTGGACTATCTTTCTTGGTGGGCAAATTTTGATAACATTTAATATTTTGATCATTCCAATCATTTTAAAATCATGCGAAAAATAACCGGACAATATATGCATCGCAAATTACAAGGATCAAATGATAAAATGCCTCGGAATGAAATTGCATTCAATGCCCGGCCATCCATCAAATCCAATGCATTCATAATACTCCTCTAAGGCTGGTCGTGTATTTAGCCGCTAAGAAGACTAATTTGACTAAATAGAAAATAGAACGGAATCTGATACCCTCGCTAATGCTTTCATCTTCAAGAGAGTTCTGAGTTTGAGGGGAAGTGTATTCTTCTACATGGAGTTCCAACATAAAAATCATAAAAAATTATATTTTATTTAAAATAATACGTCATAAAATTAATTTAAAATAATGTATCACTACTAGCAGGTTTAGTTCGATATCTAGCTCTTATGTCCATAACAATTATAGTTGAGAGAGATCTCTCTTTCACCTCACTATCTTGAAAGAGATCATTAGTTTTTCCCCCTTATAATATATTACTTTTGGTTCTAAATATAAGATTAACTTTTTAGTATAATTGGCACTACAAAGTTGATATTATATTTAGGACTGAAAGTAGTAATATGCTTCTTTTTCTATACAAACCCTTATCCTACTAGATGGAGTCAGATACATAAATCGCATGGTGTTATTGTTCTTTATATATCAATACTCTATTTTTTTGATAAATTGTTGAGCGAAAGATTTCCCACAATAATTAAGGTTTTAAATTTGAGTCATATATATATACACACACACTCCCTATGTCCCTTATTATACGATCCACTTTTTTGAATAGGTTTATTCCTTTTTATAAGATCTTTTTTAAGTTTGTCTGAATATTTAATGTATTATTACCTATTTTGCTCATGGTTTAATGCATTTAATACATTCTTTTTCTTTATTTATCTCACTATTACCCTTTCACATTTAGCCATTTATATATAGGAGTATATTTAGAAAAACAATTACATTTGTTACATATTACTCCTCCGGTCCTTAATATTGGACCCAATTCTTGAGTTAGTTTTGGTCCTAAATATAAGACCTATTTCTTATATTTATCAATTTTCTCTAAATTACCCCTATGGATACTCCCTCAACCATAATCAAGTAAAAGAGGGAGAAGGAGGTATTAAGAAAGATGATTATGGTGTTTTAGGAAAAATGTGTCACTTTTCTTATGATTAACTAACTTATCTGACTTCCTTAATCTAATCAAATTAGTTAAATGAGTCTTATATTAAGGACAGGAAGAGTAATTACTTTTAACTAATTTTAACTGTTTTTTTAAATCACGTAATTTAGTTAAGAGAATCTTATATGTAGTATAAGATTTAGAGTCCTGTATTCTAATATAAGAGACACACACATATAAAAGCTTTAGGGTCCTGTATTCTAATCTGAATCCATTGGGATATGCAACACGTGGGGACTGATGCCGCAGTGGTTTGGTAGAAATTCCTTGGAACGTTAAGTTTGGAAGACACATGTTGGACCATACTGATGATCATTATTGCACTTATTCTGTTGTTCCCAATGAGCTAAGGTGCATATATACCTGCGCAGCACGATCTTACAGCCCCATGCCTTATTTAGAATATGAATGAGTAGGGAGTTTTATTATTCAATATTCGTAACTTACAAAAGTAAGTGATTGAGAGAGAGAGAGAGAGAGAGGCAGAGAGATGGAAGTTCATGCAAATATGGAATATAATGGAAGCATAAATAATGGGTTTTGTGTCAGTGATTTATTTGGTGGCCAATAATGGAACGTAGGAGAGTTGCTCAAGACTATTTTATTTTCCTGTCTTTTTGCAATTTTTTTAGTTTAAATTTGAATTTTGAACATCCCAATTTTTTTTTTCAAATCTATATATTGTTCGGTCAGACAAATTTATTAAACCGGTAGGTAATGCATGAAATTTTCTGTCCCATTTTTAAATCCATAGTAGAATAATCATTCTTTTATTAAACCATCTAAAATCTAAAAGCTGTATATAAAAGTGTTGTCCATACTAATAGTCATTGATTCAAGTAGCTAGAAGGAGTTTTGACCGCTTAAACACAAGGTCTTGAATCTGAATTTGGAAGAGGTACTCTCAGTTGGATCCACCAATATAATATTAGACCTTGATTTCGGGGTGCTTGGTATTAAACAAAAGTATTTTTTTTTTTGTAAATCGAGACAACTCATTCATATATTTATTTTGTATACCGTAAAATTATTGGGAAAATGACAATAAAATACCACCTGAATTCCAAAAAGACAAATAAGGGACCTGAATAAGCAAAATGACATATAGGGGACTGGGTACCAATCTGAAATTCAGATTTTTGGCCAAAAGACCAAAATGCCCTGTCTGAAAGTGAGAAAAAGGAGAGAAGAAGAAAGCGACGCAGTGAGAGAAAGGAGAGAGGAAGACCGACGGTGATGAAATGCGGGAAGAAGGAAAGAAGAATGTTGGAAATGCTATTATCTTACTCCTTCGCATCACCATTCTGTAGAGATTGTTGATTTGGTGGGTTTTGGTTGTGGGAAAGAGGATTTGTAGTGAGAGAGGGAGTGAACCTGCAGGGAAGATGAAGTGGAAATCAGAAAACAATGACAAGCAATTACGTTACGTAACTGCTGTCATATGCCTGCTGGTTTTTGGTAAATCCCACTATGTGAATGGTAAATTTTACTATACATGTAGTTAATTATGAATTTTACAAAATACATATTGTGATTTACAACTTTTGTAGTGAAAGTGACTACTTTGTTAATGGGTTTTGCAACCTGTTTTCAGGAGATAAACAACTTGTTTGTAAAAACTAATAAAATTTCACGCTAAATTTGACAAAACGTATAGTGGGATTTACAACTTCCGTAGTAAAAATGACCACTTATTCAATGGGTTTTGTAACTTGTTTTCAGGAGATGGGCAGCTTGTTTCTAAAAACTAATAAAATTTCATACTAAATTTGACAAAACACATAGTGAGATTTACAACTTTCGTAGTGAAAATGATCACTTCTTCAATGGGTTTTGTAACATGTTTTCAAGGGATTGGCAAGTTGTTTCTAAAAACCAATAAAATTCTATGCTGAATTTTACAAAACATAGAGTAATATTTACAACTTTTATATGAAAATTACCACTTTTTAAATGAATTTTGCAACTTCTTTTCAGGGGATGAGCAACTTGTTTCTAAAAATCAATAAAATTTCACGCTGAATTTGACAAAACACATAGTGAGATTTACAACTTTCATAATGAAAATGATCACTTCTTCAATGGGTTTTGCAACATGTTTTCAAGGGATTGGCAACTTGTTTATAAAAACCAATAAAATTATATGCTGAATTTTACAAAACATGTAGTGAGATTTACAACTTTCTTAGTGAAAATGATCACTTCTTAAATGGGTTTTGCAACCTCTTTTCAGGGGATGAGCAACTTGTTTCTAAAAACCAATAAAATTTCACACTGAATTTTACAAAACAAACAGTGAGATTTACAACTTTTTAGTGAAAATGACCACTTCTTAAATGGCTTTTGTAACCTGTTTTCAGGGGATAGGTAACTTATTTCTAAAAACCAATAAAATTTCACGTTGAATTTTATAAAACATATGCTGGGATTTACAACTTTTGTGATAAAAGTGACCGCTTTGTTAATAGATTTTGCAACATATTTTCGGGGGATGAGTAGCTTACTTTTCACCACCAATAAAATTTCACGCTGAATTTTACAAAACACATAATGGGATTTACAACTTTTATAGTGAAAGTGACCACTTCTTCAATGGGTTTTGTAAACCTGTTTTCACCGGAAGAGCAACTTGTAAGCATAAATAAATCATTCAGTGAACGTGCACCTGAAGTACATCACAATAAACATTGAACTATTAAGTTTCATAATTAACTACATGTATATTAAAATTTACCATTCACGGAATGGGATTTACCAAAAACCAGCAAACATATGACAGCAATTACATTACGTAATTGCTTGCGACTATTTTCTGATTTATGTTTCATCATTCACCAAATACTGAATATGAACCCTCAAATGCAATAATCCTGTTCCTATTTCACCATGAAACAGCCACAAAAATGAATAATCCAAATCCCGCCATCAACTTCTACTCACTCATGAATAATTCAAATACTTCAGCGACCTCTTCGACGACGACAATTTCAGGGGGTACAAGTTATTTCAGACAGGGCAATGTATTGCAGCGATGGTAACCAAATTCAGCGATGGCAATCTACTCCTACGAAGACGGCAACGTGATTTCGAAAAATCCTTTTTGGTGACTGCAGGAACTTGGATTTAGTTTCGTAGAAGGAAATCAGTTTCTCCCTTTCTCTATCGCATGAATACACTGCTCAATGTTCAGAGACAATCAGGGCAATTCGGTCTTTTGGCCGAAAATCGATATTCCAAATTGGTACCCAGTGCCCTATTTGTCATTTTGCTTATTCAGGTCCCTTATTTGTCTTTTTGGAATTCAGGTGGTATTTTGTTGTCATTTTCCCAAAATTATTTTTGAAATCATAGTTTGTTTTCTATCTAAATACTTTTTTAGTCAGGTGCTCAAAAAATAAAAAGTTGCACCTATCTAATAAGAAGTCTCTTGTTTAAATTACTTGATGATAGAGCTTCCCATTTGAAATGAACTCGACTTAGGGGGTGTTTGGAAATGCTTTTAGAAGCACTTTTGCAGTAAAACGAGACAAACTCCTCCATATATTTACTTTGTAAACTGAAAAAGTATTTTTGAAACCATGGTTTAGTTTCCATCTAAACACCCTCTCAAATTAGTTTGGATTCTTCATAAATCCTCCATGCATATCCATGTTATGAGGTTTGAGACTTTGTGTAGTATTATTGCAAATAGGTCATCTTTCATCGGAAAAGGAATACTTCTTTTTTTTTTTTTCCCGCCAACATTAACAAAACGCGAATCCAAGAGATCAAATTTCATAACAAAAGGAATAAATATGCATTACATATTCACTGGATGCAAAGAAGAGGGGTTACGGGTGAGAACAAGGAAGAATTTGGAAATGTTTGTGAGTAGAGAAATAACGATGAGGAAGCGTGAAGGATCAAAATTTATTGGAAGAAATGAAAATAAACTTCAAAGTCAAAGGATAATATATTTGAAACCATAAATATTGTTAAATTTTTTAGTCATTCATCATACTCCCTCCGGTCCTAAATATAGGATTCAGTTTGTAATGTAATTTATACTACAAAATGGGTCTACATTTAGGACCGGAAGAGTACTTTTTAAGTTTAGGTGAAAATCACAAAATTTTAAATCAGAAATTCTCATAAAAATGTATTATTATTTGTAAATCAATTATTTTCAACATCTGTCGAAATATTGTAACGAATCCTTGTCTTTATATATCATTTTCCCTTTTATTTTTGGATTTTGCAATTTTGTATGGGGGAAAAAACAAGGCGTAGTAGTATTTCTTTAAGTTTTTGTTTGGGCTAACCACTGGGCCTTGTTTCTTATATCTAAATGTGTTCTTTGGGCCTCAATAGGGTTAATCGACAATCATAGGCTTATGCTTTGGTTGGTTTTTAGCTGACCCAAAATGGTACCGTTGCGAGACGATCCAATCCAGGACAGCACTTTAGGGTTTTAGCCTCATAAATAGATTTCTGCACTTCAAGCCTCAAACGGCGGCAACAGGCTTCACTCGAGCGGCTAGGTTCTTCCAATTGCTCTCAACCTCATCGGAAGCCGACGAAAATGGTACTCCATCTGTCCCTCATTCTGTGTTTTTCTTTGTAATTGATGGAATATTCGAATTATATTGAGTTCATCTGAATTAGTTTTATTGGTTATTGATGTCTTGGAGAGTGTTGAGAGCGAAAGCAATATATAAACTGATCGATTCCTGTTTAGATGTTGTTTGCTGCATTGGCCTGCAGCTTGCGTTTCTTCGGTATTTGTAGGAAGACGGTTTTGAGAAAGAGTACAAACATTTTTACAATGGTGCCTGCTGATTTAAAGCTATAATACCATAATTTGTATCTGGGGATTAATTTGATTTTAGTCAAGTCAATCCTTGGTGGTTAACATGTTTCTGCATTTGTTCTTGGTCTTTTTGGATTGTTTTTATTTTTATTTGTTATTTGTAATTGATGCATTTGGTAATAATACTCTACGCATTGCATAGAAATGGGTGGAAATGGGTAGGGGAAAATCTGCATAGCAGGCTGAGCAAACCTACGAAACTAAAGATAATGTGGCAACTCAACACGTTTTGTTTCAATTATGAGTTAATATCCTGCCACCCAAAAAAAAGAAATTGCATCGAATGTGTGATTACGTGTTTTTTTTTTCCCTGTTATCTTGCTACTTTCTCATTTTTAAGAGGCATTGTTGTATTCTGTTATTTTCGGATATGATGTTGTTTTGCACTTTTGATCATTGGTTTCCTTATCTCATGTAGACCAAGAGAACCAAGAAGGCCGGTATTGTTGGGAAATATGGTATGTTAACGCCCCTCTCGTTTCAATATTGATGAATTTTGTGGAGAGGCTTTGCCTTTTGAAGTAGGATGTATCTAGAGTTAGTATAAATATTATTTTGGGATAATGATTTTAGGGACCCAGAATCCATTTAATAACAGCTAAGGAGGTTGAGATAAAATTCTTCACCCCAGCTACACAAATAAGTTACCATTGACATTGGTTAAATTTACAATTTGCTCTTGATGTTACGAAGATGTTTTGAATTTGCTGCTGCCTTGTGGATCAATATAACTGAAAGACTAGGTTATAATTTTAGAGAGCATGAATGCTTTAAAAAGCACTATTATATTATTTTTCATCCTCTAGCGTCTGCATTGTCACTATTTTGGAGAAAAATGAAATAATTCTATTATGAGAATTATTTAAATGAACTTCTGATGGAGAACTTGCAATTTTTTAATTACAGTGATGCTCTTGCATGTACGCTTGGTTTCTATTTGAGAGCATCTCTAACCATCATTCATTAGAACCAGGAAAGGGTGGTTAAGTCATTTATTTTGTTTCGGCATATAATTTTCACTACGTTTTGCTTTTGTTGTTGGATCTTGTTTCATAACTTGATATGCATGCCCATTATAGTCTTTGGTATTTGTATTTTCTTGCATGATCCTTTTTCACTTAGCACATATGCGTTGTCATGCAACTAAATTTTGGCCGGTGTTTTTATTCCTTTTCTCTTAAATTTCAGGCACCCGATATGGTGCTAGTCTTAGGAAGCAAATTAAGAAGATGGAAGTGAGTCAGCACAGCAAATACTTCTGTGAGTTCTGCGGGAAGGTATTTACTTATGATTCAGTTACAATCCCTGCTGTCAGTGGAAGCTGATTTTGGGGTTTCTTTCAAGGCGGTCCAAATTTTTTTTCATCACTATCATTCATAGGCTGTGATAGCTAATTATGTTTAGTCGTTCAAGTTCTAATGTCTCTGCTCATACAGTATGCTGTTAAGAGGAAGGCCGTGGGTATATGGGGCTGCAAGGATTGTGGAAAAGTGAAGGCTGGAGGTGCTTACACGTTGAAGTAAGAGTCTTCGATAGTATTTTCTTATTGCGATAATAAAACTTTTAACCCCTCAACTTTGTCTTTATTATCAATTTGGTCCCTAAAGTTTAATTTTGATCAATCAAGTCGCTGAAGTTTCGTGCGCAATTTTATACTCTCGTCTAATCTCATCGAATCAACAATTTTTCTCCAATTCATCAAGATGTTGTCGTTCATGAGTTAAGTGTTTAGAACACATGCTTCTTTAGGATTATATGTCTTCAAACCATAAAGACTAATTATGTATAGCTATGAAATTTTAGGGACTTTCTTGGTAAAAATTAAACGTCAAGAACCAAAGCGATAATTGAGGCAAACTTGAAAGATCAAAAGTTTCATGATCTCTTTCTTAGTTTCAAGTCATTTATATTCTTGAAATTACAGGGCCATGACTCTGACCTGCTTAATATTTGTTGTTTTGCAGCACTGCTAGTGCGGTGACAGTCCGAAGCACCATAAGGAGGTTGAGAGAGCAGACTGAGGGTTAATATCACAATTTGTAGTTTATTTTCATTGCTTTCAAATCTGAGCTAAATTTTGACGCATGTTTAATATTTCTTCTGTAACCATGCTTGGTTTAGATGTCAAGAAAGATTCCTCTGTTGGCTCTTGTTTATTTAAGTACATCTCCAGTTCAACTCCAGGTTCGGGTAATTGTGATAGCGTGTCCTCTTGGATTATTAGTGGTACTGTCCTTGATTGAAGTCATACTATTTGTTTTTTTTTGTTTTTGGGAGTGGAATTTAATCCCACTTTTTTTTTTTTTGAGTGAGTAATTTAACACCACCTTGACACCTCTCATTGACAACGTTATTGATTTTGTGGTATTATCCTCAATCGTGTTAACACATTTTCTTTTAAAAGGAAGTTAGCTGTTTTTGGGTGTCGAGCAAACAATAACCCAAGCGTTCGATGTAATGGATGAATGGATTTAAATTAAAATACGTCTAAAGTGCTTAGAGTATTTGACAGTTTGAAGCTGCGATTAAATAACAAATACTAACGGGTGGTTCATACGCTCGAGAATTATGTTTTTCCCCTGAAACGTCAAACGTTTGAAAGTGCCTTGTACCAAGGAAAATATGCTTGAAAGTGCTTTTTTCTACTTATCATATTTATCCTTGACGAATTCATATCAAGACAAGTCGAACGTTACATGGGCATCAAAGTTGTGACAATTTTTTTTCCCTTTGCTTTTCTTTTTGACTTACCCAATATGATTTTACTCGTGGAGAACCAAGTGCAAGTCATCCATACCAACTATCATTGTGCTTTTACCAGTAGTGGGTTTAGGACCTTTGTGAGGTTGACATGCTAAAGTTTGATGTTTCTGTAATTACTTCTCAATTACGAAATCCATGTGCAAGAGGATCATTTGATTGAAAATAATCTATGGCTGCTGAACCCAACAAGCTGTCAAATTCAATTGAAATAAAGTATCGTGGACATTGAATAGATGGGTATTCTGACGTAAATGTACATCTCTGTAGTTTCCAAGTGATCTTATCTACAATTATCTCACCTAAACATTCATTTTTTAAAAATGTTCATTGCAACAAAATAAGCCACAAATGTCCAATTCATGAATGAATAACTTTTTTTTAATACCATCTCATATTTTGATCTTTATTTGTTTATTTATTTATTTATTTTTTTTGTTTACCTGCATTTCGAACGACACCAACCACTGTCAAATTTTATTTTATTTTCCTTCACATGCATTTCAATGAAACAGGAAGAAACGTTTCGAGTTAGGTTTCCCTTTTGGGTTCTGTCATTTTCATATGTACCTAAAATAATCCTACTTTATATTGTATTTGGTTGGAGATGATAAGATCATGGGACCACTAGACTTGGAGACAACCCCAATCCCAATGTTTCGAATGCTAAACTTCACTGAGCAACGGAAAACTCGAGAGTAAAGCTAAGCATGAATTCTCAATCATAAAACTGGCGGACGCAAACAACTTGGGAAAATGGACCTTTATTGAGACGTTTTCTCCTATTATTACAGGCACACCATCATTACAACAGAAGCTAAGTAAATATTTCACCAGTTCACCAGCACTTGCATCTACATTAGTATATACAAAAATGAAGTAAACATAGTAAAGGAAAGAGGGGGGAGAAAAAAGCAAAGAAAATAGATTTAATCAAACGGTCGCGATCAGCCTCCCTCTATACATGCAAGTGACCGGATTTCAAGGAAAGCAAAATGCCAATGAGATTATGACAGTGTAGTAAAACTTGAGTAGCCACCATCCTCTCCCATAATCTCAAAGCTTCTTGGCTGATACTGAAGCAGTAATTAACAGTCTCACCTGACGGGAATTTGAAGGCTCTCATTGTCAACGTTATGATGCATTTGGTTTTGCACAGCCTTAACAGCAGCTACTCTAGCGGCATTGGCTGCTCGATTAGCTGCTGCCACAGCTCTATTCACTCTTTCATCTACTTTGGCCACATCATAGGCTTTTTCTGCCGCTCGTCGTGCCTCCTGTTTGTTCAACAGAACCACAAAATCAGTTGTGAAAGTCAATAATAACTCATATTAACGAGTAACAGTTCATTCCATGTATCAATGTACCATATAAAATCTATAGCAAGCTACACCACCATGCACAAGTTAATAATGATGCAACTCGTTCTACAGAAGTAAAATCACCCAGACTAATGACTCAATCTATAGCATTACCGAGCATATTCACAGAATCACAGCAGCCAGCAACCAAATCACCTAGACTGATAAATCTGGGCCATGTAGATGTGACAAATTATTTTAAATCATCTTTCTTTTTAAATTTAATTGTAACTGATTGAGGAACAGCTAACAATGATTAAAAAGAAAATAAATCATTAACAAAATTATGACCTGAACAGCATTGAGCACTTTGGAATGATTTACACCAACGGGAGACACAGGATAGGTGGGGTTCTGTGTACTTGGAACGTCAAGAACTCCATTTTGCCAGTACCCAGATTGGGTTTCTCCAGTTCGAAATGTATACATTCCAAGCCCTTGCCTCCTACCCTCATGCCAGGCTCCTTCGTACCGATGCCCATTTGCAAAATGATATACCCCAAATCCATGCATCTTGTCAGCAAAGTATTCACCAGCATATGTATCCCCATTTCTAAAAAAAAAAAAAATTCCAACCAAATATTAGATAGATGTATGATTCAATTAAAAAAACAAAGCACTTGTGTATTGCTTAAAAGAGAAGCAATCCATATATCTATAAGAAACGAGAATGATATATTCTAGTGCAACTTGATGGAGCACTAATACCTAACCAGGTGAATGTACAGGATCCAACTCACTCATATGGACCAGAAGGAGTGAGTAGCACTATCTTTTCACAAGAAAAAAGAAATTGACTTGCATATGTTCAATCACGTATCTAAAAAGTAAAATAATTACTCATTCTGTTTTCCGCATACTAGGGCTTTCAGTAGAGGTAGACTACATGGAGAGGGGGGAAAAAAAAAACATCACTTAACCCAGTAAATACGTTTAATCACATAACATATTGCAAAAGACAGAAAATCCATCTAATGCACATAGGGCTATATCGGTGGAGTACAAGGCTGAAGAGTTGTCTATCAGAGATATACCAGATCATAATCACAAATATAACAAGTCCATAGGATAGCCATGGGTCATTGCAATTAGAGCTCAGTACATTAATAGAAATCCTTTCAACCAGTTGGATTAAGTGATGATATATTGACTAATACAGAAATCACATTCAGGTTTTGGATTATACGCAATGACCTCTGAAACTGAACTAGAACAACGCATGACTAGTTGTGCCAGAGCTAATCTTTTTCAAATTTCCTGAAATCTTCGTGCATCCAAAATTAAACCTTAATCAAGTGCAGTGCCAACTTTAGCTATCACTAGAACACAGAATGTTATCAGTAAGTATGGATGGTAAGGATGGGAATGGTAGAAATGTAAACCCAGTGACGAGATCATTTGATGTGCCACTCAGAAGCATAATTATAAGGACACAGAATAGCCTTGCCTTTCCTCAATCTCTGCTTTCAGTAAGTATGGATGGTAAGGATGGGAATGGTAGAAATGTAAACCCAGTGACGAGATCATTTGATGTGCTATTCAGAAGCATAATTATAAGGACACAGAATAGCCTTTCCTTTCCTCAATCTCTGCTTTCCTCTATTTCCACTAAAAGTAGACCAACAAAACAGGCATAGCATTAACCCCATTAGCAGTTGACCTGCTTTATTTTTCATCCATCATTCTTTTCATCTCCCTTTCTCTCTAGATCTCAAACTTCATCTATATCCCCTCCCCACTGGAAAACCCCTGCCAAACCCCCTTTCTTTTTGCCATATGATTGCCACTGAGTCAAAAGAAGATTCCCTTTTTCTTTCTTTCTACATCTTGTTTCAGTGTGCCAATATATAATTCCCCCTCGCTGACCACTATCCATGCTTAGGTGAAATTGCTTGTAAAATAGAACTTCATTTTTACTGCCTGCTTTATCAAACATTTTGCCGAAGCATTACGAATTTCATATTCAAGTTCATTCATCCCTAAATGATGTCCTTTAGACTGAATAGCTTGCAGGGTTTCATTGTTTGCATGGGTATAAGTATTAACAGGCATTTGATTAAAGAGTCAGTTGAATTGCTCTTCCCTAATGGCAATATGTATTTATTTTCACAATAAATATTTACTGGGTGTCTCTGACAGTCTCTGCCTTTCTTCCTCATACATCAATATTTGAAATAATCTATGATAGAAGTATCATAGATTATTCCCATTCCTTTATTCAGTTCTCCAACAGACAACCACTTTGTTTTTTTCAAATAAAGTACTAGCGTTCACCATTTTCTTCCCTTTTAAAACATCCTTCGCTATATCTTTTCATCTTTGTTATCTTCCAGGGAAGAATGGTTTCTGAGTCTACAAAAGGGGCAGAAATGAAATCTTCCGTGTGACTGGTGATGGTTCAATCTAACCAGTTTCCCAAAGGCCATCCATTGCACTTGAGGAGGGTAAAGAGAAAGAAAACAAGAGACTGGTGGAGAGAAAGCAAGAACCAAAGGCAGGGCAAAGGGGAAAAAAATGTGGACTGATGATTGAGAGAAACCAGATAGATTTTTTTTTTTTTTGGGGGGGGGGGGGAGGAGACTATTAAAAGTCAAGTGAAGAAACCATTACTGTCAAAGTTAGATTATATACCACATAAGCACTGCTAGTCAACTCTGAAAACATTCGAGTTAACAATTTAGGTTAAATGTGCAGCAATTTGAGCGTTGAGGGACCAATTTGGGAAAAAAGTTGATAAGAAACCAAATTGCAACGGATAATTAACTGAAAGGACTAAATCAATTGAGCCTATAACACTTTATTCAACTGTCTCTTCACTTGTCTAGTGTCTTCTCACATAACAATGTCCCATTGATTTATCTATTTATCCCAGTCATGTAAAGTGAGAATCAAAATAGTGGAATAACAACTATCTTCTGTGCATTCGACTTAATCCTGAATTAATACTACGACGCTGTTCCTTTCATTTGATTCTAGTTCTACTTAACCCAATAAGTCGTGAAGCAGATAGTTTTCTTCCATTTAATTAAGCTTCTACCTATCACAGGTTCTGAAACAATGTTCTAAAGGTGCCTTCTGTGATCAGACATGCTTGTTACTCGTAGATTCAACATGTGGGATAATCATGCGCTTCCCATGAGCAAGGATTTCTCAACCAACCATACCCATATGCCCACATGTTTTATCTAAATAAGCAGGAATCACGCCATTTATTGGAACTTGTAAGACAATAAGACATGATGCAATAAACATGTGTTTCTGTAAATTAGTTCAGTAGTTTCAGACTTGACATAGTAGGCCACAAGCTCTTCATTTCTTCATCCGTTGTCTTCTTTCAAAAGAAACAGCAGCAATCATACTACCTCTGGGCCTATTTATAAGAAACAAAGTTATAGTTAAATTGTTTCTTATAAATAGGCACAGAGGTAGTAATACAATCATGCTAAAAAAGCAGCAAGAAACTAAATATTTAACAGTCTATAAGAACTCTACGTATCATAATTAGAAGTACATATAATCCCTTGTTCGAATTTTACCTGAAATGGTAGTGGCCAAGCCCATGCTTCACGCCCCATTTGAATTCCCCAACATATCGGCTCCCATCCTCACAGGTGTGAACTCCACAGCCATGACTCTGTCCATTGGACCATTCCCCAGCATAGACATCCCCTGTATAAAACCTGTACACTCCAAAACCTTGTCTAAGGCCTTGCCTATACTGCCCACGATAGCGACTACCCCTTGCCCATGTTTCTACTCCATATCCATCATACTGACCATCAACCCAATCCCCTTCATACCTCCCACTCATATTATAGTAATACACCCCACTTCCAGAACACTTCCCCTTATGAAACTCCCCCTCATAGACGTCGCCGTTGCTGTAGACCTGAACCCAACATCCCGAACTCGCTCTTTTCTCCGACTTTTGACGCGACCCAATCGTCCAAAACACAGGCAAAGGCGACCTCGATTTGGCTGAAGATGATTTCAATTTAATTGGGAAGAACGGGAAAGAAAAAGGCGAATAGAGGTAGACGAGGAACGAGCAAGATTGAGCGAGAATAAGAG